TTTGTTGTTTAACGTCGCTCTCAGCAATGTTCCAGTTATATAAAGGAGGCCTGTTAACAAATTGTTAATAATTGAGCCAGACAATCCACACCATCAGGGTGACACACAATCTGCCAAGTCACCAAGCCTGACAACCCAATCTACTTGGTTCTCTCTCACATATATTGCTGGGGAAGCACCTTTATGTAGTTTGTGCAAAAAAATTGCGAGTTCAGTGTTACATGTCAATGTTAAAATAAAAGATCTTAAAACTAACACTACGTGTTCTAAGCTACTATACCAGTGTTTAAAATACCTGCCTGACAATCCACCAGTTTATTGTTATTTTCTGACAAATATCAAAAAGTACTATTCTCATGTTTACCTCCTTTTTTCTTAGTCTAGAAAATTCTGGAGAGGTCCCAATGTATCCGGTCTGGTAACTTTGTAAAGTCGCCAGTCTAGTTGTCTGACTGAAATTTTAGGGAATTTGATACACTGACTATACATAAACATTGGCACACAATATTCTTAGCACTTGGTCTGGGTGAAGCAGGTAACATAGCGGTGTGCCTCCCTGTGGTATTGATATAGTGGGAATATTACTTTAAGCAGCGTAAAACCCACTCACTCGCTCAGCACTAACAGCTTTTTTAAAGGCAGTCCTCAACTTATCTTCAGTGTACTTCCTTTGAGATGCCACAGCTCATCAACACAGCTGGCCGTGACAGCGTGTGGATAAATGTCACTTTGACCAGCATTCCTGATTTGTCAAAACATGTCAGCTCAGAGTAGGGAGAGAGCACCAATGAAGGGATTCAGGTCATAGATGTTCACCACTGTGGTGAAACACATGAGCTATGGCACAGAATCCTTATCTGATTATCAGGGTGAATCTAGTATCGTCGGATTCTGGCACTCTGAAGGGACGCAACTCTGCATAGCAAACTGCAGCACTTGAGACAACTGGGCTACCAATGCTAACTAAAAGAGGCTTGTAAGAACTGAGGAGTTTCAGATCTGTACACTTAAAACCAAATGACCAGAACTACTGATTAAGTGTCTTTTTTAGACAATAAGTTTCATAATACTTGTAACAAGACAAGAAAATGAAACTGCATAACATTATACAGACAAACAATTTAGACTCAAGCTGAAACATTTCACTATTGTTGGCCCTGTTGCTTGTAGAAAACCCAAGACCATTTTTAACTCTACATTTTTCCCAGCTCAAACAAGTTTGAAACAAGGGACAGATTCAGCGTTCCTGTTTACCAGTAATTACCAGTATTTTACCGGTAAAATTAGGCTTGGACCGGTAATTCATGTGACTGCCAGTCCCTGGACCGGCAAATAAAGTACCTTATAGATCTTTGTTGTTGAAAAAAACATTGGTGATATTCATTTAAGTACATTTTTCAAACAAAGTGAGCTTGTCTGTTACCATCAGGGTTTCCCCTTGTCTAATTCTAGGTTAAATATTCTTTTGTTGCGACTTCATCTCAAAATATTTAAAAAAAAGAATAGAAAATTGTGACTGAAGTTTGTATGAATGACGTATAGAATTATAGAATTAAAAATAAATAATTTTGATACGTTTTTTTATTTGTTGAAAGTTGGGACTGGCAAAAATTAGAGTGGCCAGTCCACAAGGTCTGGCAGTTTCAAAAGCCAGCCGGAACACTGCAGATTATTATGTTTTCCATTACAATTATTACCTGAACATTATGATTATCGTGAGCCTGGCCTAAGGCATGTTAGGCATTCCAAGTAAACGATGAAATTTACATTGGTTGAACATAGATTATGGCTGTTGACTTACATGTTCTTTGGTCATCTTGAGCTGTCTGCTCAGTGTCAAAGACATATTTGGAGTGTGGAGAAAATTAGTGTCATTTGCCATTATTTCAGCACAAAGAAAACTGAGTCATCAGTGAGAGATGACATAATTGCCTTCGTTGTACTGATGTTGAGAAACTAGACGACAGTTTTCACTTATATATATATAGAAGTTATGACACAATGTTTTTTTATAAAACAGTAGGATAAACACACAAATATAAGAACAAAGGGATGGAAACTTGCACTAACCCCGACCATTTTCTTAATGTTAAAGGTACCTTAGGGGCTTGTAGAATTTCAAACGTTTTGGGTGGGTTATTGCTATCTATAAGTTATATCTCTATTCTTTAACACTCCGAGGCAAGGGTTACCATGGTTACAGCTGGAAGTTTGACCCCCTAAGGATCATGAAAGAGTTCCTGATCAAAAAGGGGATCCAAGGACTAAGGAAGGAGTTGGGGGTACCCTCTATTAACTCTAACACAACTAACCCTAAAGATGAAAGAGGCAAGCTCAGGGCAGACATAACAACAAATTTGCCTGTAGCCAGCAGGGATTTCTCCTTTTAAAAGTAACAGGCCCTGCTGCAAAACTAACTGGCCTACAACTATATGGCGGAGGCCACGAAGTGGCTGAACCCGAGGTAGCATAGCCACCCAGTGGGGCTCTGAAATTTTTGAACTCCTCACCCCTAAAACACCTTTTCCTGCACTCTAAGATTAAATCTTGGCTTCCATTTTCCTCATTTCGTGGTGATGTATCAGCAAATAAAGACCTTGTACACAACATTACAAAATGGCGTCTGATTGTCATTCTACTGAGACGACTGACATGTATCTTTCTTTGAGTTAACCATTCACGCCACCTCATTCTCCACTATAAAATACTTTTTCATTGAAATTACATGATTCACAATCATAATCAAACAAAAACTAAACACACACAGAAAAGGAGTGAAATTTTGACTTGCCAGATGGGACGTCTACTGAATGTTTCAGCCAACAGCTAAATTGACCCCTGCATCATGCAAGATCAGTAAAGCAAGAGTGACAACCTGAACAATCAGCGGTAAAGTGGTGTCTTGTTACACAGATTATGGGTCTATCACTGTTAAGTTAAAACCCACTCACTTGATGGTGGACCTAATGACTGTCTCTAACTTATGAGTGAGTATGTTTTTACGCTGCTTTTAGCAATATTCCAGCAATATTACGACGGGGCACACATTATACCCATGTGGGGAATCGGGCCCGGGTCGTGACGAGAGAACGCTTTAACCACTAGGCTACCCCACCACCCCTGTTAACTTATGAATAGAAGTAGGCTTCAGGTTAAAAGCATCAATAATCATTATGGAAATTATGAAAGACTTACAGACAATTGGTCTGGCATATTAGACAACAACAGATCCTGGCAAACGATATGATGAGGAAGTTTTAGAAGCCTGTGATGCAACTGGATTTGTCATGCCAGATGGAGTTCAATCTATCTGGTTTGACAAAATCAATTGAAGATAATTAGGAACTGGAACTGGTTGAAGTAAGAGGCTCCATTGACTGGAGCCTATTTCCAGTTGGTTTGTTTGTGTTTAACACTGCACTCAGCAATATTCCAGTTATATGAAGGCAGTCTGTACATAATCAAGTCTGGACCAGACAATCCTGTGATTGATGAAGCATCAATCCACACATTTGGGATACGATGACATGCATCAACCAAGTCAGCGAGTCTGACCACCCGATCCCGTTAGTTGCCTCTCACGACAAGCATAGTTGCCTTTTATGGCAAACATGGGTTGCAGAAGACCTACTCTACCCCAGGTCCTATTTCTAGTCAAGGTCTAGGTGTACCATATCTTATTTTTAATGGAGTCTCATGATAACCAAGATATTTCACTAGTATTATCATAGTGTCTATTTCTTGTGTAGGTCTAGACACTATGATAATACTAGTGTAACTTGGCTATCGTGAGACTCCATTATAAAATAAAATATGGTACACCTACAGAATACCTGATAACCATGATACCTATCTGCCATGTTTGTTTATTGCTGCTAATATATAAAGCTCAAAATACACAGAATAATGAACTCCAGCTGGATTTTGTACATTGAATGTCAAAGCAATTCATAAACATCGAAAACTGGACATCAACATTGAAATATTACTCAAAAATAGAAGTTCCATAATGCTGTGCGGCAACCTCATCAGTGACATCTATCAGGTTCACATTTCAACAAACATAGTATTTTTCATTAACTTTGGAAACCTAAAATGACATAAGATAGCATGTCTTTCAGGTTGTGTGTGTGTGTCAGGGAGGGAGGCAAGCCCCCCAATTCGGTTATTTTCACAAGGTCTCTAAATATGGCAGCTTAAAAACCTTAGATACTGTTACTAAGGAAGGTTGGTTGGTTTGTTGTTTAACGTCGCTCTCAGCAATATTCCAGCTATATGACGGTGGTCTGTAAATATTCGAGTCTGGACCAGATAATCCAGTGATTAACATCATGAGCATTGATCCATGCAATTGGGATACAATGACATGCATCAACAAGTCAGCGAGTCTTACCACCCGATCCCATTAGTCGCCTTTTAAGACAAGCATAGTCACCTTTTACGGCAAGCATGGGTTGCTGAATATGAACAATATGGCGGAAGGTATCAATTATTCTTCCCTAAAGAAACTCTATTACCTAGGCCTCAAGTAACTTTAATAGTAACATGTTGCTAGAATCAGCTCATTCAACCTTGCTAATATACCAATACACCCAAGCCTAGCAACTTAACTATTACACTAAATTCTAAATGAATCCGACCCTAACTAATTCTAACTAGTTGTTAAACTAGTGCATGGATGTTTCGTCCAAATATTATTGACGAACGTCCTTGCACGAACCATATGATTGTGAGTCACTGGCCAACTAAAGGTTGGAAAATGACTGAACAAAGGACCCAACACTCGCGCTGTCAAAATTATATATAACCTTTACACAGTGCGATTTCGCTTCCATGTCCACGTTTACGTGTCCGGAACGTGATTTAAGGAAAATGTTTACTTTAGTTTCATAAGACGTCGGAGAAGAACAATCTGCACGAGGAAGTGACGTGCTGAGTTGCTAGTAGGCGGTTTCTATCACGCTCGTTGCAATCGGGATTCACAGCTGACTCCAACTTACCGCTATTACGTTTACAAATGTAGTTTTACCAGAATACTGTAAGCCTACAAGTGTTAGTTCCATCTCTTCTTTCCAGAAGAGACTTTTGAACCAGTCCAATATCTTTTGAATCATAGCAAACATGGTGATAAACAAGATATTCCAAGTGACAGTCGACTGAACGCCTCTCAATTTTTCCTAAACCGGAAGGACACACAGTTCTCTGAACATCACATGACACACTGGGGCCAAAGGTCAATTCCATGAGACATTTTCATGAAAACTTATTTGATAACATAATTGCGACCTCAGCACATCATCATCATTAACTTTGAAGAATATGTTTATTCTAGGGTTAAAGCTAAAACGGCCCATCAGCAAGACGTCACCGAGCGAAAACGGCACCTTTCGGCGTAAACGAAACCTCGCCTAAAGCGAAAACGGCTGCACATAGCGACCAGAACACGGCACCTTCATTTTTTTCTTTTTTATCTTGGTACAAAATTAAATGAAATTTAACTCACATGGTCACTTGCAAACACAAATAATTGTAAAATGTTAATAGCCTTAGAACAAGTTTGCATTTTACGTTTTAGCCTGCACCCCAGTGACCCCATTACCTTTACCCAGTGGTATTTTTAATGGGTGCAGGCTAAAACGGCACCTCAGCAAAACGTCACCGATTTCTCTGGCGAAAACGGCACCGCATTTGGCGAAAACGGCAATTTTAATTATACCCAACTACTAAAAATCAGAGACCATAAAATCTATTTTATGATCTCGGTAAAAATATACAGAAAATGATGTTGTTTTCTCCGTTTCAGGCACGTGGGATTACTTTCCTCCAAACCGGTGCCAAAATCCGTTCGACATAAGCACGGAGAACTATTTTTTATTTTATTCTCATATGGTAGTTGGCGTACTTTGAATGTGAAACACACGTCTACCCACCCTTAAACGACGCGCACACGCACGCACGCAATCACACACGCACGCGCATACCTCATGAAATCAAACTGCATGAGGAACAGTTATTACAGATCAGGCGATCCATACATCGCAACAGAAGACCTCGAAAATCCCAAAATATGTAGAATACCTTCAGGGAAGTAGTATACACATTAATTTTGAGTCACATGATAATATTTACGACCATCCCGGTAGCACCTGACTGAGAACAGCTGACGGTTCACTCTTCCAGCAGTTGGGTCATGGAGAAGTTGTCCGTGGTTGTCGTCTTGTCGGTCCTTGTAGCAGTTTATGCTGACACCCCAGCTAACTGTACATATGAAGATGTGAAAGGGACATGGATATTTAACGTTGGACAGAGAGATGGGGATCGCACGTTAAACTGCTCCACTTTTTGTAAGTTTTTTTTTTATTCCAAACGCCAAAATTAAATGTGAGCTTTTGATTCACACCCCCATGCACACCCCCTCCCATTTCAGTAAACGAATGACCCTTAGCGTTCTTACAATCAGGTTTCAGTTTCTGATCTAGAGAAATACCTTAAACAATTCTTTCCAAGGTGTCTTTTTCTTGAAGATTAATTTTAATAGTTTACTTGCAAAAAATATCCACAGTTATCAAATAAAAACTTTATATGTAAACATTCATTGAGAAAATATGTCTGAAAGATTTCTGCCTGTAACTCCTGCCTAACATTTTCCCTGGGTTAGGGCAACCTGACCCTAACCCTACAGAAATGATGATTTAATACTCCTAGCCAAGGGTTTTTATATTAATTTTATAAGGCAGGGGTTATCGGTTAGATTCTAACACTGGTTACGGCAGACATTTGACCTTTGTGTTTAATACTTCCACAGCATCTGGTGAGGAGACCCTAGAAGTGACCTTGTACTTCCCTGACCTAGCTGTGGACCAGTATGGGAATGAAGGATTCTGGACTCTCATTTATAACCAGGTACACTCACATCTAGGGCTGGGACGGTAACTTGGGTATTCAGGTCAGGTGGGTACTAAGTAGGCCCCGGGTACCCACAGGACTCCGCGGACCCGTGGTTAGTCACGTGATATATTGTTTAATGACATTAATTATGACAATAATTATCTTGAACGCCATGGTCACACTACAAGTCACTAATGTTCGCATTTCTTTCTGACTATGAACGCATTCCTTCTGACTCTTTTATGTTTGATTAAAGATAAAGCAACTTCAGTGAATGCATGACCAGATTGTTTTATATGTGTATCTAAATACATTGTGCCAAGGCTAAGGTCAAACTATTCCCAAACGGACATTTTGTACCCATCTCTTGAGACCAACAGCAGATGCCCAGGTAGGGAAGCGTAATAGAGGGTTGAGTACCCAGATAGTAAATTTAGACTCGTCCCAGCCCTACAAGCATCAGCATGATCAGTAAACTGTATGTAAAGTTTGTAAACACATGAGTACGGCTATTAAAATATTAAACATAAATGTCCACAAACAGTGTTCAACATAAATACCAGTAATGATCGCCATCATCGGCAGTCCTAACTGCATTTTCAAAGTCAAACAAATTTCTCGATTTTCCAGAAATTGTCTTTAATATGTTTAACCCATCAGAATGATACGTGTATTTGTCTATTTTATCTTTTCAGGGCTTTGAGTTTGTCATTGCTGGAAGAAAATATTTTGTTTTCTCGAAGTATGAATCCTCTGGAAAGCACGTCACCAGCATCTGTGATCAGACAATGCCAGGATGGTCACATGACATATTTGACAGAGAGTGGTCATGCATAATCGGGAAGAAAGGCAACCCTGTCCCACGCAAGACCTATGTGGATCCTCTTGCAACACGGTAAAACTCTTGTCTTTCTGATTGCAGATACTGTTATCTTTCAATGACTGGAAGGAGATGTACAGGGATGTGAAATTACTGTTATACAGTATTATCATTCAGTCTCCTAAAGCAACTTAAAGGCTAGTACTATCAATGTAGCAGCTTTGCAGATTTTTATACTTTACTTTATCACAAATGCTTGACAAAAATGACAAGATGTTTCTGTCTGCTCATCCAATTGATTATCTACAAGTGATGTCAGCATAGGCCTTATTAGTAACAGGGGCACGGGTGGCCCAGTCGTCAAAGGCGCCGCAATTCGCCGCGCAGAGTTGCATCCCTTGGTCACGCCAGAAACCTTTGATTGTGGGTTCGAATCTCGGTTCGCCCCGATTATGTTTCTAGGTTTGTCAGCACCATACCCATGCTCGTGGGTTTCACCAAAGTGGTAAACGTCTGAGACCTGAATCACTTCGGGCTTTCCTCCAACATTAAGCTGACACGCCGTGATATAACTGTGATACTATTAAAAGCGGCGTTAAACCCAACTCACTCACTCTAGTGACCTGAGGCAGATGTACAGAGATGTTATTTCACTGTTATCCTGTCTTCAAGTGACCTGAGGCAGATGTACAGAGATGTTATTTCACTGTTATCCCGTTTTCTAGTGACCTGAGGCAGATGTACAGAGATGTTATTTTACTGTTATTCCGTCTTCAAGTTACCTGAGGCAGATGTACAGAGATGTTATTTTACTGTTATCCCGTTTTCTAGTGACCTGAGGCAGATGTACAGAGATGTTATTTTACTGTTATTCCGTCTTCAAGTTACCTGAGGCAGATGTACAGAGATGTTATTTCACTGTTATCCCGTTTTCTAGTGACCTGACGCAGATGTACAGGAATGACCATGACTTCATCAACAAGATCAACAGTATGCAGTCGTCATGGAAGGCCAGGGCTTACAAGGATCAGGAACAATATACTGTAGGGGAGATGCTGAAAAGAGCAGGAGGCCGTGGTTCAAGGATTCTCTCGTATGTATTATAGGGAGATTCCCTGTGGGGATTCTTGATCAGTTCCAAGTTCCCACTACCCCATCATCTTGTATACCTAAGAGTGAGTGTGTATGGTTGTATACCACTTTTAGCGACATTCCAGCAATATGGCTGCAGGGTCATGGTGACACCGGAAATGGACATGAGACATTGTACCCATGTCGGCGCTCGACAAGCAAACGCTTTTACCACTTGGCTACCCCGACGCCCATGTAAGACTAAGAAGTGATCAGTGAATTTCCTGTGTGGGATATTGTTACAACTATTGCTAAATGCTGTGTAACCAAAATTCACTCAAAAGGGATTTTGCTAGATGAACAGATTTAGGACAATTGAGACATTACCATGTAACATGTAATAAATACTGATGACTAATTTGGAGAAAGCAGCATGATGAATTGTATCATATTTCAGGTTTATAAGTAATGCCATATTAGTAAATATATATGTCGTATATACCTAGGGCGTCATACTTCCTGTGTGAACATGTGATTGAAATACAAGCTGTGGAGCTCACTGCAGTCATATGTTGTACCGTCATCTGATCTTGATGGGAACACCCGAAGCTTCAACCTCATCATGTTTCGAGCCATGGTCCTGACATTCAATTGTTTTGTGATGCCTTCGCAGGAGACCCCGTCCTGCCCCGGTGACAGATGCTGTAGCTAGGGTGGCGCGTCAACTGCCGGAGTCTTTTGACTGGCGCAATGTCGACGGCAGCAACTATGTGTCTCCCATCAGAAACCAGGGTGAGATGTTTGAGGAGTTTGTATCATATATGAGGTGTTTAGCTTGATGGGCACTGATTAGAGCATTTGTATTGCTAGGCTATTTCATGACATCTGCACATTCTGACCAAAAAAATGATTTCCCCCTTGTTTTTGTCAAGATTGTGACAGGTATTGAATACATGACATTTTTTAAGATATATATTTTATTTTATATATATTTTATTTTATTTTATTTTATTTTATTTTATTTTATTTTATTTTTTATTTTTTATTTTTTATTTTATTTTTTTTATTTTTATTTTTTTATTTATTTATTTTTTTATTTTTTTATTTGATTTTATTTGATTTCATTTCTTATATTATTATATTATATTATATTATATTATATTATATTATATTATATTATATTTTATTTTATTTTATTTTATTTTATTTTATTTTTATTATTATTGATTTTTTAAAAATATTTTTTTTAATTTTTTAATTTTTTAAAATATTTTTTTTATTTTTTAGCTCATGGTGATATTTGCTAATATATTGGCCAGTGAACAATCCCAATTAGCACCCCTTCCGATTGATCAATATATTCGCGTACAATACGCACTCGTTTGTTATATGCACCCTTAATTATGGGCAATTAAATTCTGGAAAAATATATCTGTCGTACATAAATATTTCAGGCTGTCAGCATAAACCACTAAATTTATCATTCAACTCGGCTTTTTTCACGAAAATAATATTCTAATAAGAGCCCCCTATTTCTATGACTCTGGAACACGCCATCTTGCAGGTTACGGAATAAGGGAAACAAATAGTTGTCATGGCTACATCTAGTTTTACATGTAGCATGTCTGATGAGGTGTTAGTCTACTGGGGCTAGAAGTGAGGTGGGCAAGATGAAATTGCACTGTTTGACTCCATTCCCACTTAAGGCTACAGCTATCTCAGGCCAGTGTTACTGAATGAGAGTCATGACAGTCATAGTACTAGAACACTTTGTGTATCGAAACCAAAGTATATTAATGAAGTGGAAGATCATTATTGAATCATCTACATGCTATGAGATGGTAGCGTCCAGGTCACTGTTATAGTGTATTAAAGTATCTGGTGTTCTTGTTAGTGGAAAGGGGCAGTCGGGTAGCCTAGTGGTTAAAGCGTTTGCTCGTCACGCCAAAGACCCGGGTTCGATTCCCGACATGGGTACAATGTGTGAAGCCCATTTCTGGTGTCCCCCACCGTGAAATTGCTGGAATATTGCTAAAAGAGGCGTAAAACCATACTCACTCACTCACTCACTCACTGTTGGTGGAAAAGTCACAGGTGGCACTTTGGTCGAAGGGGGTGGTGGGGTAGCCTGGTGGTAAGAGTGTTTGCTCGTCACACCAAAGACCTGGGTTCGATTCCCCCACATGGGTACAATGTGTGAAGCCTATTTCTGGTGTCCCCCGCCATGATATTGCTGGAATATTGCTAAAAGCAGCGTAAAACAATGCTCACTTACTTTGGTCAAAGCACTACAACACTTTGTTAAAGGTTGCCTCCCTTTGCCATCGAAGGATAAGGATTCTTGGTTTGTCAGTTCCATACCAAAGTTCATGGGTTTTGGTACGCACCTATAACCTGTTTCATTTGGGGCTTACCTCACACATTTTAGCTGACACAGACCAGTGTAGCTGAAAACTGTTTATAGTTGCATTTGATCAAACTCACTCATTTACTTTTGCATGTGCTTATGAGAATCGCTGGAATTGCTACGTCCCTGAACTTGATGGCATTGTGTTTTAGCTGCCTGTGGAAGTTGCTATGCGTTTGCCTCCATGGCGATGAATGAAGCTCGTGTGAATATCATGACCAACAACACCGTGGCGCCAGTGTTCTCACCCCAGGACATCGTGGAGTGCAGCGAGTACTCACAAGGTGGGTGGGGTACAGCAACTTTCTCGATAGGAAGCTTGTATACCAGTGTTTGAAAATATGCATGAAGTCAAACATTAAATAGGAACAAAGCTCAAAGACCCAGGACGCTTCTTAGTTTAAAAACAATTGTACTAGGTGTAGCAGTAAGTTTGCTTTGCAGATATTTTGCCTTAATTGTGTGTTGCATGTTTTGCCACAAGACATAAATGGCCAAACAGACCTTAGTAGTCACAACATTCAGACCAATTGATCTGAATGCTGTGACTACTAAGGTCTGTGTCATGGCACTAAGATTGCTTTAGGGATTCTGGCCATGATAGGAATGTCGTTCTGGTCCAAATGGGAATGTGGTTCTGGTCATGAAGGGGATGTTCTAGTCATGATAGGAATGTGGATCAGGTCACAATAGGAATGTGGGTCTGGTCATGAAGGGGATGTGGTTCTTGTCATGATAGGAATGTGGTTCTGGTCACGATAGGAATGTGGGTCGGGTCATGATGGGAATATGGGTCTGGGCCTGGTCAAGATAGGAATGTGGGTCTGGTCATGATGGGAATGTGGGTATGGTCGTGATGGGAATGTTGGTCTGGTCATGATAGGAATGTGGTTCTGGTCATTAATTATAGGAGATGGATTTGATGCTTATTGATATTAACATTAATTCACACAAAATGAATATTTTTTCATTAACCTTTATATGTTACAGTAAATGTATATAAAATATGATTCACTCAGGCAATTTATAAAATGCCTAAATATTTCATTTTACAAATTGACTGATTAATCTTTCCTTTTATTTATCAGATTGACTAAAAATTAAGAAGTTTAAAAAGGTCCTAAAAACTAATTATGCTGGGATTGGAAGTCAGAAAATATGCAAATATACATGTACATTGACTTTCGTTTTCTTTTAATCTTATACTTTTTAATCACTGGGAGATGAAATTGAACATAAGAATGTTTGGCATTTGTTCTCATGGTAAAATAAATGGACCGATTTTTCGGTCAAATGGTAAAACATCAGAAATACGTAGGTGTTTTGTAAATTGCCTGAGTGTAAATTCCAGTAATTTTACACTTTGACTGATATATATATATATATATACTCAACTACAAAAGAAACGCACATGCCGGATAAGTTTGAAGGGTTATCTCTTGGAAACTATATGAGCTGGAAAGATATTTTTTGTAGGTGATTAAAGCCAAAATGTTGAATTTAACAAATCTATTCGTAATGACCAAAATTGATCATGCTAAAGTATTAAACATTAATTTTGCCTTTCTTTGAGTAATGCGTTTCTTTAGCAGTTGGGTATATACTGTGATGATCCTGCTTAGTCCCCCCCAATAATAAATGTAATGATCCTCTTTATGCTTATCACATGACATTACAAAATGGCTTCCGTATGTCCCAACACTTGACTTACTGCAGGGTGTGAAGGGGGCTTCCCCTACCTGATTGGGGGCAAGTACGCGGAGGACTTCGGGCTGGTGGAGGAGGCGTGCAACCCATACAAGGGCAAGGACGGACCTTGTTCCACAGTCGCCAGCTGCGGCCGTCGCTACTCCACGCGTTATGAGTATATCGGGGGATACTATGGAGCGTGAGTACATCTCTCTGATTTCAGCAGGACCTGTGGAGATTCCAGCTGAGAATAACCACCTGCACCCGACTCAACGCATTTGATTGATTGTGCATCATTAGAATTGCAGGGGTGTGGAAATATTGAATTTGTGAACTTGTACCTGTCTACTTGTTCGAATTATCATGTTTATTATCCCCCGCCATGAAATGGAAAGAGGATATAGGAATGGGTGCCATCCTTCGTCACATTTACTTTCCGGAGTAGAATTAAAAAACCATGAGAGATATCTTAAAGGGGAAGTGTACACGCAAAAATCACTTTCTTTCTTTTTCTATACAAAACGCAATTTTAGAATTAATTAGTATCTGTGTTTGAAAATATACACTCATTTTTTTCACAGTGAAAGTAGGAAGCTCACAATAGTGTGAAAATGATATGCCGTTATGAGGCCTTCGTTTTTCGAGCTAAACAGGCCTGAGTTATCCCCCTTAGATTATGACGTAATTGGTGCCAATTCAACTGGGTCCCTGTCTATTCTCAACGCAAAAGATATCAAGTACCAGTTTGCGGTAAAACAACATGGCCTACGACACACTCCGGCGCAGTGGTGACTCAGCATAACACTATGCTGGCTGGCATCTGAGACGCTAGAATCACACACCTAGACCTACACCACGTGAAGCGGCTCTAACAAAGCATGATGACGTCATAATGTTTATCAATTGGCACCAATGACGTCATATTGCAAGGGGCACAAGCCATGGTGTTTTTGTTGTGGAAATAGAACACTTGGTAAATGTGAAAAATATAAATCGTTTTAATGCGAAAAATATGTTAATTAATTGTGATATTTTTATATTTTTGTCTATGACACTTCTAGGTTAACACTTTTAATGTGGAAAAAGTACAAGAAAAAAAGGTTAATTTCCGTGTGAACTTGCCCTTTAACTAAACTTGGCACATAGATAGGCCTAGTGGTGAACTGGTGCCTTGGGATATAAAAAGAATTTATTTTTCGAGTTTCCATAGCAACGACTTTGACTTAGACAGAAAATGGAGGTAGTCTTCATTTCCGGAGCAGATCTTGAAAACCATACAATATTTCTTGCCTTGCACACAATCAGACATGTCATATTGGTGAGGGATTTCGGGTAGTTCATGCTTGTTACAATAGATGTAAATGTATTTCCTACCATTAATATTGAATTTGTCCTTTCCAAGGCCCTGATCAAATGAAAACTATGTCTTTGAACAGCCAGTACAACCTTCTTACAATATGTTCTGCAATGTCTCGAGATGTTTACACCTTTTCAAAACTATATTTTGTAATTATCATTTACATGCACTATATGAAGACCTGCTAAATTGTAAGGTTGTCTGTGGACAAATGTAGCTGATTGTTCTGTTTGTCTGGCGATCTCACACAATGAGTTGGGCAAATTTGGCAAGTTGGGTACTGGTATTTACTTTCCACAGCCCTGGACCGACCAGATCATTGCATCCAAAAATGGTCCGTCTGGCCCTGATTTGGTTATTCAGAGGCCACCATGCTAAAACTGGAGTATACTGAATGTGGCATGAAACATTTACCCACAGGGCTCCTGTTAATAAGTGAGGTCATTGAAAGAGATGAATCATTTGTAGATGCGTATATCAATATGTAATAAATGTTATACAGTAAACTATGTTTAGAACGAACTTAGTTTTTAGTACCGGCCATTTGTTGTATATATGCTGTATATATGCTTAAAATGAACTACGGTTATTATGAACTAAAATTAGTATTCCCTTTGAGTTTGTTATAATGGTAGTTTACTGTAACTCAAATAATATTTATCAGTTTAAGTGTATAAAAAATGCCTGGTGGTTTGATAGCCAGTCAAGTGAATGTAATTCAGAGGTCTTATGATGAGGAAGTAAGTATGGGAGGCTGACGTTTTCAAATTCTCCACCAGCTTCATTGTGTTTCTAGATGCAACGAGGAACTGATGAAGATAGCCCTGGTGAAAAACGGACCTGTCGCTGTCGGGTTTGAAGTGTACAAAGACTTCATGAGCTACAAGGGCGGCATCTACCATTTCACTGGACTGACAGGGTCATTTAACCCCTTTGAGATTACCAACCACGCTGTACTGGTCGTAGGGTATGGAGCCGATAGCGACAGCGGAGAGAAGTACTGGACCGTCAAGAATAGTTGGGGGCCTAAGTGGGGAGAGCAGGGCTTCTTCCGAATCCGCCGTGGAACTGATGAGTGTGCCATTGAATCACTAGCTGTGCAATCTTTCCCCATCATTTAATTTCATTCTCTGCCTCCCCCCCCCCCCCCCCCCCAGTCCTGATTCAAATATTTAATATTTTTATTTTAATAATCATGATAATCGTAACATTGAATTCTGTGATAGCTGTCATCCCTGGAAGAAGAAATACAACCAAACCTTTCCATGATTCAATTAATCAAAGCTATCTCACACCAAATTTATGCACTGTTCGGAATGATTGAGTTATAAACAACAAATGAGTTGGATATTTTTTATTGTTTATACATGTCATGTGATAGTGTGGCTGGTTTGTCAGACCCCCTTCTTCAGTGCTATAGATTATAGTCTGTTGTACATAGTGTATGAATGCTACATTGTGACAAGTGACGTCGGACAGTGCCTGCATATTTTTCTACATGTATATTTTTAAAAAGTTCTGTAAAAACCCCATTTTTTCCAAATATTACATATTTCTAGAATTTGTCTTGAAAACATACATGCAGCTCATTTATAAACCCTTATTTGAATACTTAGTTTTGGCGCAAGTTGTGCCATGTATATTTGAAATGAACATACTTGTAAGTCACCTTGTACCTGTGTACTGGAATGTCACTGACCTAGGGAGAACTTCATGAAAATAATACACGCTATTTGGCACTAGAAACTTACTCTTCATCTGTTAAGGGCATTATAGGTTGTAGCAGGATCACAAGGTAACGTGGGACACATAAAACCCCATGTACCCCTTGAGATCCTGCAACAATGAATTTATCTTACCGACATGTTTGAATATGACACTGTAACATAATTTAAACAAATTCAAAATTGATAGAAAACAGTCGTTCAATTGAGCTTGCGCTATGTCATGTGATTTCCATAGACTCGGAAAAAGCATGCAGCTTTTTGCTTTGAAACAGGATATAAAGGATTTATTTTGCCTTTCAAAAATGCATGTGCAGCCTGACTTGCTGATGGCAGGCAGGGTATGTGATTTATTTCCCCCCTGAGGACATTAGTCCCCTTCAAGGAGGGATACAGGGTGAAAAGGATTCATTCTGCCTCTCAGAAATCCATGCGCAGCCTGTCTTGCTCATGGTGGGGTATAAGGTATTTACTCACCCACTGAGAATTATATTTCTCTCCAAGACGGGATACACAGAATTTTATCAAGATCATGTGAACCAATCAGATCTCATCATTCTGACATGGAGGTATGATAATGAGCTTTTTCCAGTTTCTTCAGTTAAGCTCTCAGGGAATGCCATGTGATGTCCATTGTTGCACAGTGTAAATAAATGATACTGATAATTTTATGGACAAACATCTTGTCAGTAAATCACCATGTTCTCTCAATATAGGAATATAGGTAAGAAGAACTAAAGACATTTCAGAGTTTATTTACAGTATACATCAGCAATGTACATTCCATCGTTTTTTTATAAATTTCAATAAAAATTTCTCCATCATTCAATTGTATTATGTTATTTTTCTCACAACGTTTACCATGTTTATTCTGTGGTCTGACATTTAGGAAGAAAGTAAACTGGAGTAATGATCCTAAACATATGGCTGAAAAATCAGGGCTTGTCAAAAATCATTTTCAGGAAGCCATATGGACCAGTGTTTCACAAAAACACTCAGGTCCTACAGATATGCCAGCAACTACAACACATCACATTTTCATGTCCTTACTTGGAAGTATTCTGCCCTTTCATTCAGTTAATGGTTAACAAGATAAAAAAATGACATCTCATTTCTTTCCACGAGCAAGTTGGACCCCCTTGATAATGTTAATTCTACATCATGTCACTGTAACTAAGACAATTATGTTCCATTCACAACAAACACGTGTTCTGTAAACCATCATTACGTTATGTGCTGATCATCAGCAATGAATATCTGCATATCGCTCTTTCCTAGAACACGGGGTCGGGATCTTGGTCCCTGATGGCAGCGGTATATCGAGGAATGTATCTGCATATCGCGCTTTCCTAGAACACGGGGTCGGGATGTTGGACCCTGATGGCAGCGGTATATCGAGGTTTTACTTTATCACCAGTCTGATGCTCACTGGCATGTCGAGCATTCATGTCATGCCATGTCGTCATATTGTGACATATGTAAGGATTCCAACCCAAGATTATCATTTGAGGATATAGTATTTTTCTCCTAAAAGCAAATTCTTCATATACTTCAAAATTACGATTTTAGGCTATTCCTTTACATATTAATAAATAATATAACTTGCATGTGTCATGGATTTGAATAAAATCAAAGCAATTTGGGGTGGCTTAAGTAACCTTACAATATTAATTCCTTTCCTGTGTAATGTTACCGTCAAGCTTAAGGATCATTGATTTGTAACACTTTTCCAAACCTGGATCTTGTAAAGACCGGGCTGAACTCCAAATGAATATGGAATGCTTTCTGAACACCTGGCAATCTTGGGTGAGAGAAAATCTTGTAAGTTCTTTTGGCATGACAATCAAAGTACCAGCTTTATTCTGATCCGTGGTACAAATGTTTCACACAACCACACCAAAAACATCTAAAGCCACTGCGCAAAAACCAGTTGTTCAAATGTTTTTGTTCAATCTTCACAACATGATTCGACATGATTATCCTGCTTGCTACTGGAGATGATCAATAGTCCATGTGTTTGACACTTGGACAGACGGTTGTAAATCAAACGCTGGTTTGATGTTTTCAATGATGACTTAATCGTCATCCCCTTGAACCAGCAATGAATGCCAAACGTCTGCAATGTTTGGTGTGTATATTCCATAATACATGATCCACCGAAAATTACATAACATTCGGACAGACCAAAAAGCTGCCTTTCATTGAAATAACACAGTTGTCCCCCTTGACCGATACTTCTGCAGATGTTGTTGGTCATTAACAAGGACAAATTTATCCTGACATTATTATACACAGAGGAACACATGTTTTGTATCGATCAATCGGAGACATCAGCTAGATCCAACCTCCGGAATTTATCAAGGTTGTAGAAACAAGCTTTTACAATTTTTCCTCCAAAATATCGCCCATTTAAGTCCACCAGTGCTGAAAAAAAACCAAGAACAAGCTAGTATTATGATCACAAAATGCACTAAACTTGACATTTACCATCTTGGACTTATTGATATAAGCACCCTGTTCCAAAAAGGCCCATAATTTCATATCACTTTTTATCACTTCAACCCAGATATTTCCATCTCTTCTGCAGCTTTTTTAATTGAGGTTCTTATCGTAAGAGGCAACTAACGGGATCAGGCTCGCTGACTTGGTTGATGCATGTCATCGTATCCCAATTACGTGGATCGATGCTCATGATATCAATCACTGTATTGTCTGGTCCAGACTCGATTATTTACAAACCGCTGTCATATAGCTGGAATATTGCTGAGTGCGGCGTTAAACGAACAAACAAAAACCAACACTTGGAATATGGTAAACTTTGCCAGATTAAGATCTATGAAAAGAAACTGAATACCCCAATCAAGTGTTGATTGTACTTCTACAGCACTGAAATCCAGGGCCCAGCCCACAGAGCGATCTTTCCGCTAACTTCCATTCTTTAACACTGACTTATGACAGTCGTAGCGCTAAGATTGTTTAGTGGAACAGAGCCCAGTCTTACGAATGTCTGGTAATTACGCACAGAAGAATTTATTGACTACCTTCTCTCATAGTAGTAGCACAGGGATTATACAGGGCATGTACTTAACCACAGACAAGATTTTTGTTTGTTTGTTGTTTAACGCAGCACTCAGCAATATTCCAGCTGTATGACAGCGGTCTGTAAATAATCGAGTCTCGACCAGACAATCCAGTGATTGACATCATGAGCATCGATCCGCCCAATTTGGATTGATGACATGCATCAACCAAGTCAGCGAGCCCGATCCCGTTAGTCGCCTCTTATGACAAGCATAGTCGCCTGTTACGGCAAGCATGAGTACAGTTTTCAAACTCAGTCTTGCCAATTATCTTTTAGACAAGAATGTAAACTTTCCAGGGCCAAAACAAAGTAAACAAATGAAGGTACGACACTAACTTCCAAACTCATTTGCGATCATGACCAGTAACATCAGTGTGTAAAATTTAATTTCCCTGACTTAAACAGTTTTTGAGAAAATTTGTCCTCTTTGAGAAAAGGATGGACAGACAGAAGGATGGACGAACGAACTACATTCCTATATCCCCCGTCCAACTTCATGGCAGGGATAATAATGGAGAGCTATGCGCATTCAATTGAGTGGAAGTTGGTGCATCATAAATTGACATTTTATTATTATTATTTGGGTTACATAGGAATATTGCTGTCAAAGGCAGTACAGTATCCCCCAAATCTGCCTCACATGACACCGAACGTCGCCTCACCTTTAATTGCCGACTCCATCCTCTCAAACTCCACAAATATCCTCACTGCCTCTTCCTCAATCTGGCCGGGAATCTGCTCCAACAGAAATAAATCTTGCTTCAACATCGTCAAGAAATGACCAAATACAACTGATGTAAAATATTTTAATTGTTCCTATTGATAGCAATACAAAAAGGTAGCCTTATTTTCCATTTCAGCTAACAATATGTTACGGTAAAAGTGATTACTAAGTTTGTTCTACTACTTGCATTTAATAAAACAATAAACCTTAAAATTTTTATATGTACTTGAAAGTTCTATAGATACTATTGAGTATTTCTTCACAAATATTTGTTTTCATTACAAAAGATAATTGCAGTATCCATGAATTTATGATGTCCTTGAACTTGACTTGTGGCCCAGAATGCATTATTCAAAGAGAAACCTCCAGATCTGGATCCAAATCTTACCTCAAATATGACGCACTTGATAACTTTTCCATATTTGGTACACTCTTCGGCAGTCTCTGGTTCCAGGTCTTCGTCCACCTCTCCCGGTCCAACCATGTTCTGTCAGAGCAGCACAACATTATACCACAGCCACAAAGATGTGAAGTGAAATGGGGTTTAACATTGCATCCAATATTATTGCACTTACATGGCCATGTGCATGCACATGTGTGTCTGCTTGTACTAGTCCGGACTGATGCCGATTAATATAGTGCTAGCTCACTGAGATACCATGCCGCAGTTTAACATGAATACCCCACTCAGACACAGCATACAGCCCTTGTTTTAGCCCCTTGATGCTGAGCACCAGACAGGATAACAACAAGTACCATCTTTGAACGTCTTTTGGTATGACACAGCCGGTTATTGCACCCTGGGCCTTCTGCTCTCCGGGACCACTAGACCATGGGTGAGGTGAGGTGAGGTGAGGTGAGGAGAAATTGGGTTTAACTTCGCGTCCAAGATTATTGCACTTATATAGTGACGTGCATGCACGTGTATGTGTGTGTGTGGCTGCTTGAACTAGTCCAGACTGATGCCGATTTATAGTGCTAGCACACTGAGATACCATGCCGCAGTTTAACATGAATACCCCACTCAGACACAGTATACTGACTCCGAGCCGACCAGTCCTTGTTTTAGCCCCTTAATGCCGAGCGCCAGACAGGGTAACAACAAGTACCATCTTTTAACGTCTTTTGGTATGACGCGGCTGGGGATCGAACTCTGGACCTTCTGCTCTCGGGGCGGACACTCTACCATTAGACCACGGAGGCGGCCTACTAGACCATGGAGGTGGTCCAGCAACAAAGAAGGGAGTAAGGTGATACATTCATTTTGAACAGTATTTCAGCTGTACCAGAGATGCGGGTTGTAAACGACAACCACTCTGAAGACAATCTGGGATTCGAAATCATAACCAGCAGATCCTGGCACAACTAAGGGAAACAACTCTAAACAGCAAACTCAACCTCACCTTACACATTTTTTTGTTTGGATCCTATCATTTAAAAACAACAAAATGTCCACATAACAAGTCCCTTAATATTTTTGATAATGCGAGTCCAATGTACAACTTTACTTTTATCATATGATTAGATCAGAAATCTACTCATTTCAGAACTACAAAGTACGATCCTAATGAAACATCTTCTGCTACAAGGCCATGGCCCCGTTCGACAAAGCCATCTTAGCGATAAGGTGATCGTAACTCCAATATTTTAACACTGGCTTACGATAGTCATAGCGCTAAGATCGTTTTGTGGAACGGTGCCCATGGCCCTGTTCCACAAAGCAACCTTAGCATTAAAACTGTCATAAGCCTATGTTAAACTATAGGAGTTACGATCATCTTAGCGCTAAGATCGCTTTGTGGAATGTGGCCCAGGTTTGACTGTTACACAACCATGTGTAATATGACTGCAATACAAGCAAACAAAATAGCATCACTTACCCTCAGTAAAATAACTTTGGAAGGATTCCGCAGCAGGTTTGTATTGGAGGGGGACTCCCTCGGTACTTCTACAACAGATGACCCTCCACATTGCAGACAGGCAAACACAAATACATTCCATGCCGTCACTAGAAGTGAGTGTCACTGACTGCTCTTAGTAAACGTATTTACGTCACTTTGAGCAAAATGTCAGCAGTATCATGACTAGGGGAAGCTCATGTAGGAAGAGAGTGAGAGAGTGAGTTGGGTTTAACGCCACTTTTAACAGTACTCTTGTTATATCGCGGCATGTCAGCTTAATGTGGGAGGAAAGCCCAAAATGATGCAGGTCTCAGACGTTTACCACTTCGGTGAAACCCACGAGCACAGGTATGGTGCTGACAAACCTAGAAACATAATTGGGGTGAACCGGAATTCGAACCCACAATCATAGGTTTCTGGTGTGCCCAAGGGACGCAACTCTGCACGGCGAATCGTGTAGGTAGAGAACCTGGGCCTTCATCCTGACAGGCAAATACTGTAACCACTAGGCTACCCCACCAAGTGTATTATGATACTGATACATATACAGTGAGATGTTGTTCGACCACAATAAATATATTTAATTCAAATAAATTGTTTTTCATTAATGGGTTTTAATTTTTGAAATCAGATTTGAATTCTATGAGCAAGTCTTAGAGACATCAACTATTCATGCAAAGTTTCAGCTCCATAGACCTGGGCCCACTTGAGCGATCTTAGGGCTAAGATGATCATAACTCCCATACTTTAACATTGGCTTACAATAGTCTTAGCGCTAAGATCGCTTTGTGCAAGTGGGCCCTGTAGTTGCAGAGGAAACCTTAAAACTTAAAAGTTAACGATGCCCAAAATGTATTACATCTGTCAGAGCCTAATCAACATCTGTTGACATACCATATTTCCTAAATTAAACGCTTTGTGTATATTTCTTTTAACATGTTTAAATACTCTTTAGCCCTGGTAATTGATCACAAAAATAAAAATGGGGAGAAATCCATGCATAAAGACTGCCTAGCATTTAATCAAACCTGGCATTAAATCGAGGAAATACGGTAATGACAGCAGCAGTTCTAGTGTAACGGGTGTGGTATACTCACCTTTAGGCAGGTCCTTCTCGTGGATGATCTTGCCGCCTCTCTTGCTGGTCTTTTCTACAAACAGTGCAGTACTCATGCCTTGCTCCTGCTTGCCCAGGCCTTGACCTTCCTTGTAGCCGTACTTCGCCATGATCCGAGAAGCCACAGACCCACTGAAACAACACGGCACATCTACAATCTCGGGCGAAACAATGCAGATTGTTCATACTTATCCTAAAACAATTTCAAAATCAAGATAATTTAAGTATCAGAAACATAAAAATATCACTTAACGAAACTCTGATGCATATCATACATTCTAACTAATGTTATATTTGGGATCACGCTTTCTCAGTAAAGTACAGATTCTAGTACTTTTTTTGGTTGAGTCCCATCGGGGATTTGAACCCAAGCGATACCTCTTTGGCAGATACCTCCTTGGAGTCATCACCGGATCTCATCTTAACGATACCTCCTTGGAGTCATTGCCTGATCTCCCCCTAGTGATACCTCCTTGGAGTCATCGCCTGATCTCATCTTAACGATACCTCCTTGGAGTCATTGCCTGATCTCACCCAAGCGATACTACCTTGGAGTCATCACCTGATCTCACCCAAGCGATACCTCTTTGGAGTCATCACCTGATCTCACCCAAGCGATACTACCTTGGAGTCATCACCTGATCTCACCCAAGCGATACCTCTTTGGAGTCATCACCTGATCTCACCCAAGCGATACTACCTTGGAGTCATCGCCTGATCTCACCCAAGCGATACCTCTTTGGAGTCATCACCTGATCTCACCCAAGCGATACCTCCTTGGAGTCATCGCCTGATCTCACCCAAGCGATACCTCTTTGGAGTCATCACCTGATCTCACCCAAGCGACACCTCATTGAAGTCATCACCTGATCGCACCCAAGTGATACCTCATTGAAGTCATCACCTGATCTCACCCTAGCGATACCTCCTTGGAGTCATCACCTGATCTCACCAAAGCGATACCTCATCACTTGATATCACCCTTGCGATACCTCATCACCTGATCTCACCCTAGCGATACCTCCTTGGAGTCATCACCTGATCTCACCCAAGTGATACCTCATCACTTGATATCACCCGTGGAGTCATCACTTTACCTCACTCTGGCGATACCTCCCATGGAGGCTATGTTTGGATGATAACTGAGTTTACATCATATAGAAGGCCTCATTAAGTCTGCAGCTGCTACCTACCCGAGTCCCAAGGTGTAGCCAGTTGGAGGGGAGTTGGAGCGGTTCGGCATCACAGGCTCGGAGGCTGGACAAGAAGATGTACTCATGTTAACATAGGGACATATAGCTCTGTAGCTCGGATATGATATCCGATCAGCAAAGTCAAGGTAAAGAAGAATTATGGTAGTAAAAGAGAAGTTGCTTCATCCTCAAAGCATGTTCATTGAATTACATACATGTATTTTGTCTATAATTGTTTGTTCATTGTTTATCACTGCACTAAGTAATATTCCAGCTATATGACTGCGCGCTGCAAATAATCAAATCTGGACCATACAATCCAGTGATTGACATCATACAAGAGAATATACGGTATTCAAATCACATAAATAGTACATGCATACAGCATCTACAGTAAAATGTACTGTAGTGAAAATGGCAAAAATATTTTTTGAAATCGCCCTCACTTTGACCTTCACCTTCACGTTACACTGCTTAGTGAAAATGGCAAAAATATTTTTGTAATTGCCCTCACTTTGACCTTCACCTTCACGTTACACTGCTTAGTGAAAATAGAAAAATATTTTGTAATCGCCCTCACTTTGACCTTCACCTTCACTTTACACTGCTTAGTGAAAATAGAAAAATATTTTTGTAATCGCCCTCACTTTGACCTTCACCTTCACGTTACACTGCTTAGTGAAAATAGCAAACATATTTTGGTAATCGCCCTCACTTTGACCTTGACCTTCACTTTACATGGCTTAAGTCCCTCACAATCTTCACTGGCTTCAACCTAGCCTGACAGTTGATATGTTAAGTTTCACTGACCCATAGTAAATGCTTCACAAGGTAAAGTTTAAACAAACTGTATTACAGGTTTATATGTCGAAGATGAGTTTGACCTCTGACATCAATGTGTCAACAAAATACTCCAGGGCTGCAAAGCAGATATATACTCATCACCAAAGAAACGGGAACCATAGAAACATATAGAGAAGTGTGTACGTTAAGAAGATATGTTTCCAATGTGTACCAATTAATGACAAAACTTAAAATCAGTCAATTGTTACCACAGAGTGACTTTACTCCTAACACGATATGCTGCACATGATTTCCAAACTTTACACGCTTATCCTGCACAGGACAAATGGTGCATCTTGAGTCCTGGATCTATGTCACAAGTCATACATTCATGAGTGTCGGTTCACACAACATAGCAGTATGTTTGTTTGTGCATCGAACCAATCTGATATCTCTTGAATATGAATAATTTTTTGGTATTTGTGTTTCTTTTGTCAGTGAGTTTACATGTCTTTAACAAGATATCCGACCCGTGAAGATTCCGGGGTAGAATAGGTCTTCAGCAACCCATGCTTGCCGTAAAAGGCGGCTATGCTTGCCGTAAGAGGCGACTAACGGGATCGGGTGGTCAGGCTCGCTGACTTGGTTGATGCATGTCATTGATCCCAATTGCGTGGATCGATGCTCATGATATTAATCACTGGATTGTCTGGTCCATACTCAATTATTTACAGACCGCCGTCATATAGCTGGAATATTGCTGAGTGCGGTGTTAAACAACAACCCAACCAACCAACCAACAAGATATCCATCAGCTGTCCAGCATCGCATGGTTTTAAAAATATGGCAGCAACGGCCAAATCTGACGACGCTAAAGCCTCAACATTGACATAGTTCGAGCAAAGACTAAGTTTATGATTTTATTTCAACAAGAGGCAACAATTGCATATTTTGCTTGCTGGTTGCGCTATATAGGCCATATCATGGAAGCATGTATATAAGACAAACAAGTGGTCGATATCATGAGCAACGACCATCTTCAGTAAAACACCTGTTCCATTATCAACAAGCAGTAGAACCTTGAAGTACTGTTACCTATGCTCTCACGGATAAATTGCTTGTCTAATCATGACCAACACACTTACCTTCTTTGGGTGGAGTGTTGTCCTCAAGCAGTGACATAGGCGGGGCGATGGCCGCACCACTAGCTGTAAAACACAGAAAACAACATAACTTTCGATATCCCTTCAATGGTTACAACATAAAACATTTCACCACGTTTTACAAATCGCACATGTATTGATGCATCACAATTTTACACCCAACGACACCATACACGATGTGCATACACATAAGCATATCACAAAATGGCTACAAAATAACAGATCAAGGGTTTTGAAAAATGGGTGTGTGGGATGTGCAAATAATACAAAGTGACTTGGCCGAGGTCGCAGTTAACATATATGGTGTCTGAAAAGAGGTGAGATGAAATGGGGGTTAACGTCGCGTCCAAGATTATTACACTTATATAGCGACGTGCATGCACGTGTTTGTGTGTGTATGGCTGCTTCTACTAGACCGGACTGATGCCGATTTATAGTGCTAGCCCACTGAGATACCATGGCGCAGTTTAACATGAATATCCCACTCAGACACAGTATACTGACTCCGAGCCGACCAGTCCTTGTTTTAGCCCCTTAATGCCGAGCGCCAGACAGGGTAACAACAAGTACGATCTTTTAACGTCTTTTGGTATGAAGCGGTTGGGGATCGAACCCCGAACCTTCCGCTCTCCAGGCAGAAGCTCTACCACTAGACCGAGGAGGCGGTCTGTCTGAAAATAAGTGGGCATCGTTCATATTTCAGAATCTCTAGGAAATATCAAGTCTCAAAGACCAGCATGTGTTATCCTTATGCGTTATCCTGATGATCTTACATCTGGGCTTTTCATATCCCTCCTCCTCTTCCTCCTGCTCTCTCCGCCGCTTCGCTCGATCCATCTCTCCACCTTCCTCTTCTCTTACTCTGTCTCGTTCTCTTTCTCGCTCAGGCCGTCGCCGAGATGAGCGTCTATAAACATTACAAGTGAATCTTTAAACACACATTCAGGTGATTGGAACAGAAGATTTATGAAAAGAAGAACTTCAGATTCATGTAGATTGTCCCACGATGAATTGAACATTTGAAACATTACGCTATTCGTTTGGTTCCAATTTCAATTTAGCAGGGTTAAATCAACATTGAAAACACAGTATGTTTATCCTCTAATTTGATACTTCTTAATTTGATTTGAACCCTAACATGTTACATGCTCCAGGCAAATTTGTCAAACATTTCCCTTTTTCAAATCAAAGGTACATAAGAGTGCAGGAGCAGGGTATGAAATATGATGCAACTTTCTTATAGTATTGAAACCATTAAAGGCTTAAACCTGGGCCTGTAGCATGATAATAAACAACATGGCAATCTTACAAATTGCAGACGACTAGGGGGGAAACGTCACAGCAAGATCACAATACAATATGTTTCAAGATAAATAGGTATTGATACGATATGTATCGCGATACCCATATTTATTTCAAAACATTTTGCAATATTTGACTGACAGATGTCATGTATTTTAGTAAGTGTAGCATCTTGTAGCATCTGTCCATGTGTTGCCCTAAGTGTGTCAGTGTGACATATATGTCAACATACAAGCTACAGTGAGCGAGACATCGCGCCTTTGTGTATTTCTCACTGCAGCTGAGTTAGTGTATAGGTCTGTAAAGAAATACAGGTAAGTGTGAGTGAGTGAGTTGGGTTTAATGCTTTTGACAGTATTCCAATTATATCACAGCGTGTCAGCTTAATGTGGGAGGAAAGCCCGAAGTGATGCAGGTGACAGACATTTACCACTTCGGTGAAACCACAGAGCACGTGTATGGTGCTGACAAACCTAGAAACACAATCGGGGTGAACCGGGATTCGAACCCACAATCATAGGTTTCTGGTGTGCCCGAGGGACGAAACACTGCACGGTGAATCGCAGCGCCTCAGACGACTGGGCCACCCATGCCCTCATACAGCTAGGCATGATGTTGTGATATTATCTCGTAGTTTTCATTTGTATATGTATACAAGTATCTTATAATTAATTGGGTAATGGTGATTTATTTTGTCCATTTTACACAAATATCCAGCTGATCTGAGTGAGTGAGGGAGTATGGTTTTACGCCGTTTTTAGAAATATTCCAGCAATATCACGTCGGGGGACACCAGAAATGGGCTTCACACATTGTACCCATGTCGGGAATTGAACACGGGTCTTTGGCGTGACGAGCGAATGCTTTACCCACTAGGCTACCCGACCGCCCCCATGCAGCTTATGTGAAGCTCTCTCAATCAACACCCAATACAGCCAGAAGGGGTTTCTGTACCCCAGTGATGTGGTTCATGCCACGGGTTTGCCTGGTTTGGATTTGATCATTAACAGGCGGCAATGATATAGCTGGAATACAGCTGACTGCGGCATGTCAACAGTCAATCAAAGATATGTCTCTCACCCCTCCTCAGCCTCTCTCCTCTTCTCTTCTTCCCTCTCTTTCTGCTTGGCTTCTCTCCTCTTCTTCACGATGTCCTCATACTCATTGGGCCGGAAAGGGTCATACTCGTCCTGCACCCCCGTGATTGACGGCACTGGGTCAGACGCAATGAAGGGGGCAGTGGAACTTACTGGGGGGGTGCTGGGTTGATCTATTCTCTCCAGCTACAGAATAGGATACATGAGTGAGTTTTCTCCAAATCAGATACAGCTAGAATACTTCTTATGAAAAGACATTTTCACTCCAAAACAGTGATCACTAAACATGATGAAGCTACTGTTTGTAGGAGGAGCTATATGTCTCACGGTGTCATGGCATGTTTCTGCTGATCCATAGATGCCTAACAATTAAAAAAGTCATTCAAATATTCCATGTGAGTGAGTGAGTTGGGTTTAACACCGCTTTTAACAGTATTCCAGTTATATCACGGCGTGTCAGCTTAATGTGGGAGTGATGCAGGTCTCAGACGTTTACCACTTCGGTGAAAGCCACGAGCACGGGTATGATGCTGACAAACCTAGAAACATAATCGAAGCGATCCGGGATTGGAACCCACTATCATAGGTTTTTGGCGTGCCCAAGGGATGCAATTCTGCACAGCCAATCGCGGCGCCTCAGACGATTGCCCCCAAACATTGAATGAATTCAAAAATAATTGATCAGGCTGGTTAACTCTGTTTGTTGCTTAACGCAGCACTCAGCAATATTCCAGCTATATGACTGCAGCCTGTAAATAATCGAGTCTGGACCACATCCAGTGATTGATATCATGAGCATCGATCCACGCAATTGGGATCAACATGCATCAACCAAGTCAGCGGGCCTGGCCACCCGATTCCATTAGACATCTCTTTTGACAAGCAGGGGTTGCTGAAGACCTATTCTAACCTGGTAACTTGGTTAAATCTGTTTCTGTCATGGTACCCCCACAAAATGGAATGTTGTTCAGAATATCGACCACTGTTTTGTCTGGTCCAGATTCCATTATTTACAGGTCATTGTGACATACAGTAGCTGGAATATTGCTGACCTCGGCACAATACAATAAACAAAGTACTCTCATATGAGAAACGTTACAGCTCTAACAGTATAAAGAGAAAGGTGATCCAGTATCAGTTTCTCATAGACAACTGGACCATGTTGTAGTTATTATTCTCAGTGCTTAATACCTTTCCCGTCTGAAGATTGAAGTGAAGTTCCGAGGCCTCGTTCCGCTTCAGGTCTATCACAGGCGCTAGTATTGATCCCTGGCGTGGGCGCTGTAATACAACCATACTGACATCACATAGTGACCGGTACAACACAGCTTGGTACATGTTTAGCAGAAGTAATTAAATGTTGATAAAATTATGTTAGGTCGAGTGGTGGGACAATACATTGATGCACCGGTGGATCGTAATTTTTCACTCCTCGATACAAGTATCCATCACAGTGGCACACTAAATAACACATATCGATACATACCTTAAATGTTTGCTGTAATAACAGTTACACCCCACACTAATTAGTAGTGTTGTTGTTGTTTGTTTGTTGTTTAACGCCACACTCAGCATTATTCCAGCTATATGATGGCAGTCTGTAAATAATCGAGTATGGACCAGACAACCCAGTGATTGATATGATGAGCATCGATCCATGCAATTGGGACCGATGACATGCATCAACCAAGTCAGCGAGCCTGACCACCTGATCCCGTTAATCGCCTTTTACGACAAGCATAGCCGCCTTTTATGGCAAGCATTGGTTGCTGAAGACCTGTTCTACCCCGGAATCTTCACGGGTCAATTAGTAGTGAAAATTAGTCATGAAAATATTTTTGTCCATTGCGCCATACTTGACATTGTCAACTGTAAATCTTCCGTGTGCCAGGTGTTAGGTCATCCTGTCTATGAATAGATGGCTTACTCACGACCGATAAGAGAAACATGCAAGTAACGTGATAAGTATCGGATCGTGAACAATGTATCGTCATACGTATCAAAACGCACAGTTGGTGTATCGTCCCAGCCCCAGTAAAATCTGACCCAAAAAACTGGGACAATGAACCAACTTATCCCAAGTAGTCCTGGTACATTATACCTAGGTTGTGGTCAGGTTAGCTAACTATATTACACTTACCTTTGGTGTGGTCAGGTTAGCTAACTATATTACACTTACCTTTGGTGTGGTCAGGTTAGCTTAACTATATTACACTTACCTTTGGTGTGGTCAGGTTAGCTAACTATATTACACTTACCTTTGGTGTGGTCAGGTTAGCTTAAAGGGGAAGTGTACACGCAAAAATCACTTTCTTTCTTTTTCTAAACAAAACGCAATTTTAGAATTAATTAGTATCTGTGTTTGAAAATATACACTAATTTTTTTTCACAGTGAAAGTAGGAAGCTCACAATAGTGTTAAAATGATATGCCGTTATGAGGCCTTCGTTTGACGAGCGAAATAGGCCCGAGTTATCCCCCTTAGATTATGACGTAATTGGTGCCAATTCAACTGGGTCCCTGTCTATTCTCAACGCAAAAGATATCAAGGACCAGTTTGCGGTCAAACAACATGGTCTACGACACACTCCGGCGCAGTAGTGACTCAGCATAACACAATTCTGGCTGGCATCTGAGACGCTAGAATCACAAAACTGTACCTACACCACGTGAAGCGGCTCTAACAAAGCATGATGACGTCATAATGTTTATCAATTGGCACCAATGACGTCATATTGCAAGGGGCATAAGCCATGGTGTTTTTGTCATGGAAATAGAACACTTGGTAAATGTGAAAAATATAAATCGTTTTAATTGCAAAAAATATGTTAATTAAATATGATGTTTTTATATTTTTGTCTATGACACTTCTATGTTAACACTTTTAATGTGGAAAAAGTACAAGAAAAATTGGTTCATTTCCGTGTGAACTTGCCCTTTAACCATATTACACCTACCTTTGGCATGGTCAGGTTAGCTAACTATATTACACTTATCTTGGGCGTGGTCAGGTTAACTTAACCATATTACAATTACCTTTGGCGTGGTTAGGTTAGCTAACTATATTACACTTATCTTGGGCGTGGTCAGGTTAGCTTAACCATATTACACTTACCTTTGGCGTGGTCAGGTTAGCTAACTATATTACACTTACCTTTGGCGTGGTCAGGTTAGCTAACTATATTACACTTACCTTTGGTGTGGTCAGGTTAGCTTAACCATATTACACTTACCTTTGGCGTGGTCAGGTTAGCTAACTATATTACACTTACCTTTGGCGTGGTCAGGTTAGCTTACTATATTACACTTACCTTTGGCATGGTCAGGTTAGCTAACTATATTACACTTATCTTTGGCGTGGTCAGGTTAACTTAACCATATTACAATTACCTTTGGCGTGGTTAGGTTAGCTAACTATATTACACTTATCTTGGGCGTGGTCAGGTTAGCTTAACCATATTACACTTACCTTTGGCGTGGTCAGGTTAGCTAACTATATTACACCTACCTTTGGCGTGGTCAGGTTAGCTAACTATATTACACTTACCTTTGGTGTGGTCAGGTTAGCTTAACCATATTACACTTACCTTTGGCGTGGTCAGGTTAGCTAACTATATTACACTTACCTTTGGCGTGGTCAGGTTAGCTTACTATATTACACCTACCTTTGGCGTGGTCAGGTTAGCTTAACCATATTACACCTACCTTTGGCATGGTCAGGTTAGCTAACTATATTACACTTATCTTGGGCGTGGTCAGGTTAACTTAACCATATTACAATTACCTTTGGCGTGCTTAGGTTAGCTAACTATATTACACTTATCTTGGGCGTGGTCAGGTTAGCTTAACCATATTACACTTACCTTTGGCGTGGTCAGGTTAGCTAACTATATTACACTTATCTTTGGTGTGGTCAGGTTAGCTAACTATATTACACCTAACTTTGGCATGGTCAGGTTAGCTTAACTATATTACACTTATCTTTGGTGTGGTCAGGTTAGCTAACTATATTACACTTACCTTTGGCGTGGTCAGGTTAGCTTAACCATATTACACTTACCTTTGGTGTGGTCAGGTTAGCTTTCTTGGCCTGCAGCTGTGACTGCAGCAGTTTGAACCCCGATGACCAGCCAGCTGCAAGGACAAAAGAACAGAAGCTACAATAATTTAACAATGATTATGACTGATTAAGTTTGAATTAAAGTTAGAATAAACAGTCTGAATCTCTGTGATCTTGCACAGTGATATACACAGTGTTTGAAATGACTATATTTCCTCTAATAGACACAGACAACAAGTGGAATAGAGGAACGGAGGGACTTGGGAGAGGGGGGGGAGAGAATGGTCCCATTTTCAGGACCTGGACCTGATCCAGGAAGGGTGTGGTGCCATGCCCTTACCCTACATTACTCCGTTTCCTGCAAATGTGTGCATTAGAAATTGGCACACTTCCGGTAGTCCTTGCCATACTGACCAATAGTTAAGGTATCATAAGGACAAGTATATGTCTGCAGATAAACCAAATTTTGAGGACCAGAAAAAGGATTCTGTAGAAAGGGGTCGCTTTATCCACGGGATACACTTTCATGATAGTATTTTTCAGATCGTGATCTGTCAGAAACATCGCCTGAATGACGGTCCGATAGATTACAACTTCCCGAAAGTTTGGAAATTGCCACGAAAAGAGCCATTATTGTTATAAATTATCAATAAAGTTGTTATTATACACCAATGTTGTCATTATTAAAAAAATGTTATGCATGTTACTACTTCCGATAATAGGTTTTCAATTGAATGTTCAAAGTTTATCGTTCTTCATAAACTTCACAATCTTTACATATATAATATATAATCCACAGATGAAATCGCCGATAGCTATTACGTACGTTTTGCAAAGTTCATAAATTGATAGTAGTAATTTGCCATTTTGAGGGGTTTTGCTTTATGTTATAATCATGACTAGTGGACTGAAACTGTTAGTTTCTACCGCTGTGTGGCCTTCGTTCGACTACAATTTAGGATTCAGTAACGTGGTGAGCTGCCACTTTGCAAATATTAAACAGAATAGACAGAGTCAGTGGCTTGCACAAAATTAATAGAAAGCTGTGCGTCATAAAGGGAAATACAGTTACCATGAAGGTCGAGCGGTTGGTTGGTTGTTTTACGCCGCACTCAGCAATATTACAGCTATATGACGACGGTCTGTAAAATAATCGAGTCTGGACCAGACAAACCAGTGATTGATATCAAGAGCATCGATCCACGCAATTGGGATCGATGACATGCATCAACCAAGTCAGCGAGCCTGACCACCCGATCCCGTTAGTCGCCTTTTACGACAAGCATAGTCGCCTTTTATGGCAAGCATGGGTTGCTGAAGACCCCGGATCTTCACAGGTCGAAGGTCGAGCAGTCCTTGTCTTAACAATGATAACCCTAATGTTAAACGTTGAAGACTTAGGACTCCCTAGATTCAAATACCATAGGAGAAGACAATCAAGGACCCCTCTCAATTTCAAACACTGATTTTATGTAATATGACAAAGGATAACTTACCGTCCACATTCTTGGTGATTCCACCCTCTGTGTTATCAAGGTCCAAGCCATCATAGAGAGACATTGTAACTGTAAAATAATCCTGTACGAACTATCTGAAACAAACAAAAACATGATAAATCTTGATGCTGATGAGATTGCTAGAGAGATGCTATGAGTCAGGGTTTGCCTGTGGATGAATTTTACGCCTCTGCTATTCTTTGAACATTTAAGCAATTTCAGAATAGGCTGGTGCCCTCACTTCTTATACTTATGATAATAGCAATCTCCTGAAAGTACCGTATTCGACGTAATAAGCGCCCCGCTCTAATAAGCGCCCATGGCGGTATTTGCAAATATATTGGCTAGAGAACAATCCCAATTAGCACCCCTTCCGATTGATTAATCATAACGTTCACAAGACTTATCAATTCTCGTACAATACACGCTCGTGTGTTATACATGTTATATGCACCCTTAGTTATGGGCAATTAAATTCTAGAAAAATATATCTGTCGTACATAAACATTTCAGGCTGTCAGCATAAACCACGAAATGTATCTTTCAACTGTTTTTTTCACCAAAATAATATTCTAATAAGAGCCCCCTATTTCTAATTTTGAGAGCGCCCTGGGCGCTTATTACGTCGATTACGGTAATAAAAATTATCCTGTTGACAATACATGCAGAATCATGATAACTCATCCTATGCAGTGTTGTGTATTATACAGATTTCTTTGTACGATTGCCCAATAAAATGTATCAATTTTCTTTGTTGGACTCTCAGCGTCAGAAATTGGTACTAGTACTAAGTCCTTGCCAAACTGTCCAAGAGTTAATGTAGCATAAGGTCTAGTAGAAATCTGCGTGTTTCAAGCGTTTTGCTATATGTTATCATAATAAGAACTAGTGGACTAAAACTATTAGTTTCTATCATGTTCTATTGCTGACTCTATAAATATTGATACAGGTGCCTATTTTGTAAAGGAGGTTAGTGAGTGAGTGAGTGAGTATGGTTTTACGCCACTTTTAGCAATATTCCAGCAATATCATGGCGGGGGACACCAGAAATGGGCTTCACACATTGTACCCATGACGGGAATCGAACCCGGGTCTTCAGCGTGACGAGCGAATGCTTTAACCACTAGGCTACCCGACCGCCCTGTAAAGGAGGTTAGAATATTCTTGCAGTGAACATGTCATAATGAAAAGTTTGATCTGTGGTGATCCAATGGTTGGTGACCAAATGACTCAGAATTGTAAGTGACATCATCAGACATGAAGTAAAGGGAAAACTATTTCAGCTAATCTTACTGACAGGGTTACCATGGTTACTTCATGCAGACTCGCAGACACAAGTGATGTTGTTAGAGAATTTGCTTCAGATGTCTTTCTTACGTCGAATACGGTGTATGTATATTATCTCTCCAGTTCAATCTTTCAGATTAGCAATCAACATGATCAAAATGATTGGATGTATGTATCATAAGTGCATAAATATCAAATGAATGGCTGCAAGGACGTACCGCCTCATGGGCATCACAGTCGTTATAGATGTTCCTCATATATATGATTTGGTTGGTTTGTTGTTTAACACCGCACTCAGCAATATTCCAGCTATATGATGGCGGTCTGTAAATAATCGAGTCTGAACCAGACAATTCAGTGATAAATATCATGAGCATCGATCCACACAATTGGGATCGATGACATGCATGAACCAAGTCAGCGAGCCTGACCACCCGAACCCGTTAGTCGCCTTTTACGGCAAGCATAGTCACCTTTTACGGCAAGCATGGGTTGCTGAAGACCTATTCTACCCCGGAATCTTCACAGGTCTCATATATATGAAAGGTAATTATGAACTCACAAATGAAAGGTAATTATGAACTCACAAATGCAATTTTAGAACATACTGCGCTCTCCAAATAATATGCATGATAATGGAATGGTAATTCATCTTAGAACACAAATACAAACAATGAGTGAGTGAGTATGGTTTTATGCCGCTTTTAGCAATATTCAAGCAACATCACGATTTGTAAAGTTTGAGTTTAAGAACATACAATATTTAAAAAGTGCGGATCTTAAATCTTAAAAGGACATGTATTAAAAACTAATTCATGTTCAATAATTCTGCCATTAAACTGTTTAAAGCACTGTGGGCAAATTATATCTAGAAGATCGGTTGGTGGTTTGTTATAAAGTCCAGTTTCTATGGCAAGGGGTAAAATGAGTGCGTATGGTTTTACGCTGCTTTTAGCAATATTCCAGCAATATCACTGTAGGGGACACCAGAAATGGGCTTCACACATTGTACCCATGTCGGGAATCGAACCCGGGTCTTCGGCGTGACGAGCTAATGCTTTAACCACTAGGCTACCCGACTGCCCCAAATACAAACAAAGACCCATATAAATCTACAGGTTGTTATGTTACTTAACATAATGACAACAGCTTCTGGGAAGCCTGGGAGGAGTTAAAACTTACTACCCAGGTCCCCACCCCCCTATCAGCTGTAGGTCTCAAGAGGTACAAAATGTCTGATTGGGAAGTGTTTTACTGCAGCCCTGGCAAAACCTATATACATATACACGTATAAAAAGATCTGATCATGCACACACTGAAACTTTATCTTTAAATCAGACAAAATGAATGTGTGCATGGTCAGAACATGCAGAAAGAAACATTAGTGCCTTGTAGTGTAAAACATGGAGGTATAGTGATTTTATGTCATTAAACAGTATATCCGGTAGGGCTGGGATGAGTCCAAATTAACTACTCGGGGACCTGACCCCCTTATACCTGACCCTACCCAGGTACCCTCTGTAGGTCTCAAAGAGTTGGGAACAAAATGTCTGATTAGGAATTGTTTCACTGCAGCCTTGGCAAAAAACTATTCAGATACATGTATCAAACGACCAGATCATGCATACACAGAACATGCTGAAGTTGACTGAAGCTTTATCTTTACTGAAAAAATATACAAGTCAAAGGAATGTGTGCATTGTCAGAAAGAATTGCGAACATATGCGACTTGTAGTGTAACCACTGAGCTGTAGTGTTTTGTCATTAAACAATATATCATGTGACTAACCATGGGCCCTGTGGGTTCTCGGGTCCTACTCAGGACCCACCCGACCCGAGTTGCCCGTCCCAGCCCTAACGTCCAGGTCCAGGTATTCATCATGTTCATGTGGGTACACCGGTTCAACCCAGTAACCACCTGACCCGAGTACCAGCATTACCTGACCCAGCCCTTCATCTGTGGTATACTATAATGACTACGGATGAATTCCTTTTTGTTTACAAAGTGAGTGACAAAACATGATCATGAGTAGGCCTAGTAGGCTAGTAGGAGGCATAAGTAGGCCACCAAGCTAACACTACCAGCTGACTACAGTAACACATTCACATTGTGCCAGTCTTAGTGTCCAAAGAAGGCCTCAATCACGCAAAATACTTTCACATAAATGTCTCTGACCAACGTTTATTAAATGTAAGACTTCAAAGATGTATTTATCACTTACAATGAACAATTACTTGACGATGAAGAAAAACTCAACGTGCAATTTAGTGATCGAAATTAGAACAATCGCATTGAAGATGAAACGGTAAAGATGGAGAGTGTGAGGAAAAGGCATCTGTTAGTTCAATTATCTGCTAAATATCAGTAAACATGTTAAATATACAATAAACTTAGGAAAGTCTCAAAATGTTTATTATATCCTACCGTTTTCACAAATTCAAGCACGCAAACATCGTTCGTAGAAATTAACCGGAAGTCACAAATGTTGACGCGCACCGGTCCCTTGTTTTGAACACTTCCGGTTTAGTTCACTCGTCAAGAACTCGCGAAATTCGATTGCTTAATTGTAAGTGTGCCGATGTTTATTTTTCTGATTTTTCTGATTCATTGTTATGATGTTTTAGTTGTGTGTTGTAATAAAGAGAGTTGTCACTTTAATCAATGGCAACGAAAAAACAAATTTAACCCGCAAAAGGTCATTTGAGTTTCTGTCGCTGTGGGCTGTCAAACTCTTTATGACAATATTCAGGAATTGACACCTCTGGCAGTGGCAGCATATATAGTTGGAAATAGCAAGGTAAACTTACACATGAAATGTATAGTCAAAGGACGCATGAAAATGTCTAAGAAATAGGGCTGTGACGAGTCCAAATTTACTACCCGGGTACCCGGCCCCCTATTACCCTACCCTACACGGGTACCAAATGTAGGTCTCAGGAAATGTCTCAAAATGTCCGATTGGGAACTTTTTTAGCATAGCCCCGGCAAAACGTAATTAGAAACATCTATTAAATAATTTGGTCATGCATACACTGAAGTTGACTTAACTTATATCTTTATTCAACCACATGAAAAATCAGAAGGAATGGGTGCATAGTCAGAAAGAAAAACAACCATTAATGACTTGTAGTGTAACCATAGAGTTCGAGATAAGTTTAGTCATTACACAATATATCACGTGACTAACCATAGGTCCGGGTAGTCCTGTGGGTACCCGGGTCCACTCAGTACCCACCTGACCTGGGTACCCGAGTTACCCGTCCCAGCCCTACTAAGAAACTATGCTGGGACAGGTAACTCGGGTTGTGTTGGTCCTGAATACCACAGGACTACCCTTATCCGTGGTTAAAAACTGGTCACATGGTATGTTGTTTAATGGCAAAAATAATAAGAGACACTTGATAGTTTCACAAGATAGAACATGTGTATGTGAAAGTTCCAACATGACAGGAACACATTATTTAAAAAATAAAAGACTCATGATCGTTGTTTATCGTACAATAAAACACTGCTGGGAGAATAAACCACTTGCGGCTGCACCCCTCATGTTTTTTTTCTCTCTGTAGTGTTTTATTGAACGTGTCATATGAGTCGTTTGTTTCTTATATGAGATATCGACATTATGTGCAGCCTCATTAAGGATCTCAATATTTTGACAAGTTTTAAAAATATTTACCCGTATTGTTTATTTATGATGACTCCCTGAATACAATCCGAACTCGGCAATATCATGAATATCGGACAAGTCCATTTTCTGAACAGGGTGGGTTATGTTTGGTATTGCACAGATATTCTCACAGTTTTAATATCCATTATGTGTACCTCTTCTCCCAATACCCATGATACTGTTTGTCATATCTCTCCAAAATTTGGGTTGACTTGACTCAGTGTGATTTCGATGCGTATTGGTCAGTTGTCCTTCTTTACCTTTATGAGTGAGTCTATGGACTCTATTCTGAAATGATTGGGTTTTCCTCACAAAATGTTCTATGTGCAGTATCGAGATACGCATCGTATTGTGGCTTCTGTATCAAGATATGTATCGTATTGTGTGATACCTGTATCGTGACATCCTTATTATGTTCACATGGAACCAAATCTTGTTTACACCAACATTGAAACACGTTATATGTAGTGTCTCCTAAGGCAAGCGACCTTGTTTGTAATAATCAGCTGTTCCAGCAGCACACCTTCCACTGCCTCATAATCATAGGTAGCTTGGGTATATACTCCCCAGGGAGCTGAGAATGACTTTTGTGAGCACACTGACCCATTGTCTGGGGTAATAATTGATGCATGATTTTGTGCAAGTGCAACTATTGGTATTGTTACTGTGTTTCAGCCCAGAACAATGGCTTAGGAGATGTTGATGTGTTCCACTGACTAGTGCTTGTAATCTTCTTGAATCATGTTGAATAATCACATCCATTGTGAGAACTCTTATATTGAGTATTGTTATGCTTCTGTTAAGAATGTTGCAATTCCACTGGAGACCAGAAAAGATCCGGGGTAGAATAGGTCTTCATCAACCTGGTTGATGCATGTCATCATATCCCAATTGCGTGGATCAATGTTCATGATGTCAATCACTGGATTGTCTGGTCCAGACTTGATTATTTACAGACTGCTGTCATATAGCTGGAATATTGGTGAGCGTGGCATTAAACAACAAACGAACAATTCCGTATTATAGGATGAAACAATAAATTGCAATGGAAACCCCTAAATCATGTGACTAACACTGCCCTCGAATATTGACTTGTCATGTGATAAATATTGACTTGTCAGGTGATGAATATTGCCTTGTTGCATAATGAATATTGACTTGTCAGGTGATGAATATTGACTCGTCTACTAGAAAACAATATGTGTCTGTCCTAGCATTTTATGGTTCACAGCTGTTACTGTAATGAAACAGGATGGTTAAAAGGTTTCATAAAATTTAAGGTGAATTTCAGTGTAACAAAACCAAAGATTACTCTTAATGACCTCAATCTGCGAAAACAAGGACCCCCAAACCCAACCCCTTCGGTGGTCCAGTCAGACCACTCCTGGGCATTTGTTACCAACTCGTGTTATTCTGGGACAGGGGCAATAGGGTAGCCTAGTGGTTAAAGTGTTCGCTCGTCACGCCGAAGACCCGGGTTCGATTCCCGACATGGGTACAATGTGTGAAGCCCATTTCTGGTGTCCCCCGCCGTGATATTGCTTGAATATTGCTAAAAGCGGCGTAAAACCATACTCACTCACTCACTCACTTTTCTGGGACAAACTGAACAGCAACTCATGCACCTCTCATGGCTATTTTTGCGACTGGGTTCCGTCTAAGCACAAACAAAGAGTTGTCAACTTGTTGTGTAATGATTCACATGCATTTCCCCTATGTCATATATATTCCAATCTCATTAAAATCAGATCTTAGTTCTCGCTATCGCTAAACAAGGATCTGAGGACATCCAATTACAGGTCACGTCAGAACGACCTTTCATCCGACCACTCAAAGCGTCGCTTACCAGATCATGAAAGTGACAGTCGGAATGTGTTTTCTCATCATGCAACCCTGAAAACGTTAACATTTGGTATTCCAAACGACAGTTACGTCCTGTACGACTGATTCCGTCAAAATTATCGTCTGTCTCGGTTCTGTGGGATAAACAATTGAACGGTGGGAAGCACTGCCATACAATCGCTACCATATATTAGATGTTCCGTTTGTTCAGTTTTCACAATTTTAATTGAGAACTGTGTCAACATATTTTTCAAGCGTAGTCTGAAATAGAAGTCGCCAATTTGAAACCAGTGCCGTAAAGCTTGAGAAAGCTGCTTTCTAATTGGTTGATGTCGACTTCTTGTTAGTTGTTTCAGTCGTCGGTCAAAGTTCGCAAAAGGTCGTTCTGACGTGACCAGTAATGGGATGTCCTCAGATCTTTGTTTAGCGGCAGCGAGAACTTAGATCTGATTTTAATGAGATTGTATATATTCCAGATGCTGTTCAAAACACATTGGGACTTATGTATTTATACAGTATGATTGAACACTTTTAACTGTATTTAGGTTATGTTTTGAGATGCATGACATGCAAAATCTGAACTTATTCCTGAGGGATTCTTTGACCGAAGTACTTGCAGTCATACACGCATTTTTATTGGGTTGTCATATTTTCGCATATACCATTCATCGATAGAGGGACGAGTCTTCTTGCAGGTTACGGAAAGGGGCGAGTGGTGACGAATGCACTTCAGGGGCTTGGTCCTCGGGTCCTTGTTTTTCACATGTTGCCCTCGTCAGGAGTATTTATTTGTATATGAATTAGTCTGACATATCTACATATTGTCTTCCACCTATACATCTGAAGTGATGAATTAGTCCCCAGGGTTTTCATTTCATAATTTTTTAGCACGAAAATAACTCATAATTCATTGTATCAATCAATATATGAATAGTATTCTGAACGGCAAAAGGAACATATCCATGGATAGATATATGAGAAATATGTTTGTCCAAACACTGAAAACATACTTTGAGACATATTAAAAAGATGAAACTTGGCAAAACTGATCATCAAGGTTGAAATTAAACTGTCAAATGTTCTTAAAGTGAAACACGACACTAGTCTCTGAGAAAATGGAGTTACAAGTCAGTAATTCATGTCCGCATGTGCATTGATGACCGCCGTGCAACGTCGATACATGGAATGGATGAGGCGGTTGATGAAGGCCATAGGCACTTGAGCCCACACGCTGAGGAACGCCTGACGCAGTTCAGCTGCAGTTGTCGGGCTTGGTCGGACGTCATTCAGCCGTCTTTGAATCTCGTCCCAATGAGATTTAAATCAGGACTGAGGGCAGGCCACTGCAGGGTTCTGATGCCATTCTGCTAGAGGAAGTCTCTTTTTGTTCTCGCAGTGTGGGCATGGGTGTTATCATGCTGAAACTCGTGGTTGCGGCGACGTGCCAAATGAGGTATGGCGTGTGGTCTCAAGACTTGATCAATGTACCAAGCTGCTGTGACACCATTGCCTCTCCCTGGACCGATGGTCTGGAAGACCACAGGGCCAGCCCACTGTGCAAGACCAGTTCCACCCCACACCATGATGCTCGGACCACCCCATGAGTCTTTCTCAACAACACAAGCATCCAAATAACGTTCCCCACGTCATCGCCAGACTCTCTCTCTGCCATCTGCTGTTTTGATACAGTAACGGCTCCCGTCTGAGAAGAGGACTCTTTTTCACTGCTGGTGGCGCCAATGCTGGTGCTGTGTTGCCCACTGAAGATGGTCCTTGCGATGACGTGGTGTCAGAATGGGTCCTCGGTGTGGCCTCTGACAGTGGTGGTGTCTGCTTGTCAATCGTCGACACGCGGTGTCCGCACTAAGGTGTCGCTGGTGTGTCCCATGGTCTGTCGAGCAGTTTCCGCAGAAGTAACAAAGAGATCTTGAAGATGCTGTCGCACAATCTGATGATCCTTACGTCGGGTGGTGACCCATGGTCTTCGACTACGTGGTCGGTCATCTGTAGTGTTGGTGGTCTGGTACCATTGCTGGAGCCTGTATATGGTCCTTATG